GCAGACAGAAAGAAATATTTAAAAGCTAAAGAAGAAAAAGAAGGACATTTGAAAACCAGAGAGAAATATTTATCAGAAGAAAAGGAAGATGTGCAAAAGGAAAGAAATTTTTACAAGATGCGGAAGAAGTAGAGTTGAAGAAGAAGAAGAAGAAGAAGAAGAAGAAGAAGAAGAAGAAGAAGAGTTGAAGAAGAAGAAATATAAAGAAAAGGAAGACCAAAATGGAAGATTTGAAAACGAGAAAGCAAAATTTGCCAGGAGAAAAATAAATGATCTATAGGAATATTCCTTTTACTTTCTCAGTGAAAATAAAATATTCCAGTAAATAAAGGAAAAGCGACACGAGAAAAAGGGAGCCGAGAAAGAAAATTCGGTTAGAAAAACAAAAACAAAAAAAAAGAGAATAAAAAGAAAGAAAAGGAAAATGAAAGAAAGAAAGGAAGGTGGAAACAAAATTCTTACAACTATAGATAAATGAATAAAGAACTGACAAGAATTCATATTAGTACAAAATTATTGATTTATTTGTAATTAATTTCACAGTTTAATAAAACTAAAAACAGAGGCAGCAGTTCAAACACGTGTAACCATTAAAAATAACGTTTATAGTAATACTAACTTAAAAGCCGCCTGCCCTTTTTTTGGGCTTTCGGTATGTTCAAGATTCTTTTTATGTTCTCAGCATTGAAAGCTCACCTGGCTGCCGATGGGTTTTCATTTGCACGGGACTTTCTTTTTCCCGCCGCAGCCTTGACTCTTTTGACAGCAATCTGGTCCTCTGTTGGCGGATAATTCTTTTTGCGGGGCATACCGCTGCCGTATGCGATAGGCAACAATAAACTACAGAAGAACTCAAAATTGATCGCTGCATTTAAGTATTGCATTAATATTTAATCTCACCTTTCAAAAGTTCAACGATAATTTTTTTCAGCCACCACTTAACCTAAAGAAAATTTCTAGTGCGTACGTCCTTAGTTTCCGTACAAACGATTATCTTTATTTCATGGCTGTCTTTCGCAATTAATTTCGATTATTCCCAAATTTATTTATAAGAATTGTTATCGTATAAAATAAAATTCGTTGCAAAAAATCACGTAAAAAATCGCCAAAAAAAAAACAAACTCACTCATGAAAACTTGAGAATTCAAAATGTCTGTAACATGAGTTACTGAAAGTTAAAGAGTTGTGTCCCTTTAATTGAATAAGTGTGACACAGTGACACACTGACATCAGCATTTATTACATAGAAGATATAATGTCGGAATGGTTTCCGTGCTTCTAGGTATATATATATATATATATATATATATATATATATATATAAGTATGTATATGCGTGCCTCTGTGTGTGTTTGTGTGTGTGTGTGTGTGTGTGTGCGTGCTTTATAAAATAGAGTACTCTCTGGAATCCACATTGTCAGGTCAATAGATGGTAACTCGACCGGTATTTCCCTGTGGCGTTTTGAAATTTATAGCAGTATCTCATTTTCATATACAATACTACACCTCCCCGAATCAAAACGGCTTTATGCTCTTCGTTGATCTTTGACTTCCAATTATTCTTGGGAATCTAAACTGCCTTTTTTTGGTGTGTATCTTGATTTCTTTTTACAGAAGACCTCATTCTCAGTTCATTTTCCTCTTCCAACTCCTCATCAGATTTCTGGTCATTATCATTCATAGACTGTTCAGTTTCACTACTTGATTCATTAGTCCTCACCTTCATCTTCAGATTCTTCATCCATTTCTATATCCTCGGGTTCCATTCTGTTTCTGAATTGATCCGCATGGACCAGTACATTTTGTACATTTTTCTTTAATATTGCTGTCTTGTGCTCTTTCTGTGCTACAAAGTTCACCTTCTCTGGATTAGATTCTTTGTCTTTTTTATACCATAAACTTTCACTTGTTGAAAATGATATTATTATGGGAGCTCTAATCTGTCTACCCATTAATGCGGAAGGATTTCGTAGTCTGTCGGCATGTGGAATTGTTCTGTAGCTTAACAGTAATCTTAGTAAGTAACTCTCTGTATTATCATTAGATGAGGGAAAAGCTTTTAGTCCCCTTTTCACTGTCTTCACCATTATTTCTGTGATTCCATTCGATTGTGAGTATTATGGTGGTATTTTATACGGGTCGCATCCAATACGCTTTAACCACACGCACAAATTTACCTCGCAAAATTCTGACGCGTTATTTGAGATCAAAGTTTTAGGCACGCCATTCCTTGAAAATATTCTTCTTGATATTTCTTTTACAGCGGTGACTTTTCTGAGAGCAACCATAATTACTGAAAATGAGTCCGGTAAAATTAAAAATAGCCCCGTGCTTTTAATATGGGTATGATCCATTTTTCTTTAGAGTGAATTTTGTTTTGCCGAAAGTTTTTTTTTTTTCAACATATTTTGGGCATCTTTTTACATAGTCTTCTACATCTTGGGAATATCCTGGCCACCACGCTTGTAATTTTAATCTTATTTGTGTTTCTGTTATACCACAATATACATCATCGTATACACCTTTTAGGACATCTTTTCTTAAACTTTTAGGGGCTATTATAATATCTCCATTGCATATTATGCTTTTCTCTACAGTTAACTTACGTCTTGATTCTTTGTAGGGTCTTTCTACCATTGAAAAATTGCCCCATGTGTTTCTTTTTATTCTGTCTGAAATTCTATTTAACACTGGATCTTGTATGGCTTCAATTCTGAGATGATTTCGGGGTAAAACGCCCGTTTCAATCTAGTGCAGTATTTTATCTTCTGAATGTTCAGACGTTTCTAATTTTTTACTGTTGAAATTTAGTCTGGATAGCGCATCATTGTCTGGATAGTATTCCCTTTACATATATGATCTCAAAATCAAAGGCCATGAGTTTTATAGCCCTTCTTAAAATTCTAGAAGATGTGACTTTTGGTAATTCCTTTCTGGGGTTAAATATAAACTGCAATGGTTTATGATCTGACTTTAACAAAAATTTTCATCCTAACAAAAATTTCGAGCTTTTTCTGTGCTCCATACTGTTGCTAACGCATCTTTCTAAATATCTGAGTAGTTAGCTTCAGCTGATGTTAATTTTCGCGACAGGTACATTTTTGGATAATCTACTTGTGATAAAATTACGGCTACAGCATGTTCACTTGCATGTTAGTCAATGTTAGTTTTACTTTTTTTTTTTTTTGATCAAAGATATTTACAATTGATTTTCTTATTAGTGCCTTTTTTACGCTTTCAAAAGCTATATTTAAGTCCATTTAAATTCTGTATTTTTTTCCGTAATTCTGCAAATGGTTTTATTAGGCCGCTGTATCTAGGTAGGTATTTGCTGTAAAAATTTGTCATTCCCAAAAAGGATTCTAATTCTTTTCTTTTTTTTTTTTTTGATGTTGATACTTCCGATATTTTATTTATTAGTTTATTGTCCGGTGAAATTTCTTTTTGAGATGTTTGGTATCCCAAATATGATATTTTGTCGCAATTTAACTCACCTTTATCGCTATTTATCGTCATACCAGCAGTTTTTTTTTATTTGTTTAAAACTTGTTTAGCGTTTTAATTCCTCTTTACTGTAAGCACCTAGTCTATATCGTCTTGATATATGATCATATTATTTTAAACCCTCCAATAGAAATTTTTCAGTTGCCTTTTGAAAAATATGGCAAATGAAAGTTAGTAAACATATCGGGGTATTAACTGTAGTGAAATATTTAAATTTTCTGTCAATTTCTATTTAATTATATGCCGAGTTCAGGTCAAGTTTGGCAAAGTATTTAATTACTTCTAACTGACGACTTGCTGTTTCTACGTTAGGTAAGGGGAATGAATCAGAACATATCTGATGATTCACGCCTACTTTGTAATCACCGCATATTCTCTAATCGCCATTGGGCTTTCATATCGCAGCAATTGGTGAAGCCCATCTACTACCAACTTGGGTAACTTTTTCCAATATGTCTTGTTCTACCATTTTCTTTAGTTTTACAACTGTCATGGGTAGAAAGTGAATAGTTATTTTTCGGGATTCAAAGTAGGTCGGGTGATTATTTTCTTTTCTTTAATAGTTCTGGTTCTTCTGACTTTATACGTTTATATAGATACAAATATTTAAGTAAATGCTCTGTTTATAATAAACAGTATTAACAACATTTACCGGCCTGAATATCCGAAACTTTTTCACAGAAAATATGCGTATAAATATGCGTTATATTTCGGCGCTACAACACTTTCTTATAGCTTTAGAAACGAACATTTTAAAATAACGAACATTTTTAAAATAATGCTACTGGTAATGGTGAAATTAGCCATTTCCTTATAAGGAAACACTCGGCGTTCATTGACCAAACAGTTAGTACTACTGTCGGTTTAGATTTGTAAAATCTTTTTCTTAAAATGTTTGTCAAGAAATTAAACTTCTCAAGTCCACTAACTGTTATTGCTCTTTTTAGTAATGATGGGAGTTTCCTTCCTAACCTTTTGTTTAATGCTGTGTGGAACAGTCAAAATGTTGGTTATGTCATCATTTTTCTTCCAGATACATGTGCTGCCCATTTGAGTTGGTGATGCTGTTGGAAGTCTTCAAGTTATTTATTTTTTTTTTTTGGTAAAAGTCTTTGTAGTTCTTTAGCGTCAGTCTATAAGATCTGAAGAAGGAATACCAAGAAGCCATATACAAATATATCAAAATAAGAAGTGGCCAGAGGAAGATAAAGAAAGAAATATTACTCATTGTAAAGTGGTGAATTGAAAATATAACAAAAATAAATTTTGTTATACATGATGTTTCAGAAAAATTATATCATTTCGTAATCTAATAACGTAACTGTTATATACCGTATCTATGAACACTATTGTAAGTGGGGGTAATATGGTGTCTAAGTAGTCTACCACTAGCAGTGGTTTATCTACTTCACGCCGCTGGCGAGTATTATATTTTGTTGATGTTCTAAAGATTACCATTTCATTTCCAAACTTCGTTTTGGTTATTCCTCATTCAGTAAGCTTTTCTAAGTTACAACACTATCTATCTATCTATCTATCTATCTATCTATCTATCTCTAACATTGTTCATATCTATCTATCTATCTATCTATCTATCTATCTATCTGTTGTAGAGTAGTTTTCACAGTGGAGGCTTGTATTTCACTAAGTCGTCCTAAACTAGGTTAGACGTACAAAACGTTAGGAACTTGGAAATAAGAGTTAATGACGCAGCAATGTAGTTGTGATGGTTGGTACTTCAATGTCCGATATCGACTGACTCGCTCAACACCACTGAGCCGAACTGGCGACTGCTACTACTACTTATTATCTGTGGGAGAGTCCATTACAATAGAATAGGTATTATGGCATAACACTATCTATCTATCTATCTATCTATCTATCTATCTATCTATTATATACCGTACCTATGAAGACTAATGGGCATACCGACATTCCTCAGATATACGTTGGACACTTTTGTAAGTGGGGGTAACATGCTGTCTAAGTATTTCACCACTAACAGTGGTTTACCTACTTCATGCCGCTGGCGAGTATTGTATTTTGTTGATATTATAAAGATTACCATTTCATTTTCAGTGTCCGTTTTGGTTATTCATCGTTCAGTAACCCTTTCTGGGTTACAACAGTAACCAATTCACGTTCACTTGATTGATTGATTGATTTACGGCTTTGCATGTTATTTAAAGCCACAAAATATTTTTAGATTGTAAGAAAGACTTACTAATTAACCCATAGCTGAGGGAAACGAGGTGGATTCATAACCTTCCCAATGGTATTTGCGCGTAAGTGAATATAACGAACCCAACGAGAATTGGAACTCGGCTCTCCGATTAACAATTCTCTGCCATCAACCATTACATCACTCGGACATACAAGCTTTCAGTATCTAGCATTCAAACGTGTTCACCCATTTAGGTACTGACCAGGCTCAACGTTGCTTAACTTCTGTGATCGTACGGAACTGGTGTTTCAATGTGGTGTGTCCGTAAACCTCTGTTCACGTTCAAATGATCTCAAATTTTAATAGCATGTGTAGAAACAATGCCAAATTATAGGTTTAATTTTTAATGTTTTCCTTTGAAGGTAAAGAAATGCCATTCACTGGAAAAGAAAATGGTTCTTTGTGTACTACAGTATACTCGTACACAGTCGAACAAATTTTGTGGGAGAATTCGCTAAAATGTACCAACTGCAATCTCCTGGAGACTGTTACCCAAGACATACTACAGCGTGTGTTAGTAGGAGCTGGACTACCAACTTGAGTAATATCTTTCATGAAATCCACACACATTTGAATTTCTCAAATTTTGATGAATAAATCTTATTTGGCTCAACAAGAACTCTGTTTAGTTTCATTTGCCTATTAGGCCATGGTTGTTTGTTTGACGGCATATTAACTTTTTATGGTTCATTTAATTCCGAAATTTAGTTTTCTTGGCAGTTTTGAAGTAATAAAAATATGTCAGTCTGCTTTCACAATTGAATACATGGTAGATGATACTCAGATTTTACACATATGCATGTAAATATTTTGAATGCAGTTGCATACCTTTAACTACAGATAAAATTTATTGTTGTTCATTTTACTATAAATAGGTATTGTTGGTAATTGTTTTATAGAAAAATGTATTGCTGGTATTTTTCTGTAAAAATGTATTTTTAATACTTTCATAGTGTTTGGCTTTTGTTTGGAGGTTCAATATTTACGTATGGCTAGGACCCTAATTATTGCTATCACCTCTTGTCAGGGTGGACCTGGGAACAACAGCAATTATGGGCTGGTTCCACAGTCCTTAAAACCTAGAATCTCTTGATCAGGTGCCTATTGCTGGATGTAGTTTATCGTCATACCCAGGACTAATTAGACAATGTAATTACTCAGATATTTACATCTCAGATGATATTAATTTTTTTCAAAACATCGTTTATTGTTTTGATTCCCCACTTCAGTAATTATTTTTATCAGGTCATCCCATAAGTTCTGTCCGAATTTTGAATAAAGAAAAGAAGTGATCAAATTTTCCCTGATTATCTATGAATTCCTTCTATCTATTAACAAGATTACTAATTCCATTACTGTAAAATTCTTTTGGCTTTGATTCAAAGAACTCACAAATGTCAGTTTTAACCTCTTCCTGTGTTACAAAAGCTGTTTCTTCCAAATGATTCTGTAAGCTACGAAACAAATGGTAGTCTCAAGGAGCAAGATAGGGAGAATAAGGTGGATGAGGAATTTTCTCCCAACCAAGTTCTTCGATCTTTTGTGACATGATTCTTGCTGTGTAGGGTCGCGCATTGTCCTGACGAAACATCACCTCTTTTCTAGAGCAGATCTTTTTTCCTCAAAGCTTGGTTCAAACACTCTAATTGCTGACAGTATATTTGAGCATTAATTGTTGCATTAGGTCGTAAGAATTCAAAGTGGATTATTCCTTGGCGATCCCACCAGATTGAAAGAACTTTTTGCCCATGAAGTTCCCTTCTCGGCTGTGGCTGGGGTCCTTTCCCTTTACCAAGCCACTGTCTACGACGCTTAACATTTCGATAAAAGATCCATTTTTCATCGCCAGTCACAAGTCTATCCAAAAAGGTGAAACAAGTTGGCGAGAATGGAGAGAAGAGCAGATGTCAACTCGGGATTTGAGGTTGTTTTCAGACAATTCATGAGCACCCATTTTCCAAGTTTAGGAACTTTTCCAAGTTGTTGAAGATGACGATGAACAGTTGTATGGTTTGAACTGAGAACCACTGCCAATTCCTCAACTGATAAAGCAGGATTTTCTTCAAGGGCTGCTTCAAGAAGCTTTTCATCAAACTCAACTGGACGTCCGGTTCGATCTTCATCTTCAAGGGTGAAATCTCCAACTCTGAATTTTGCAAACCATCTTCTGCAAGTTCTTCCATTCACACATTCCTCTCCATAAACTGAATGTTTCTAGCCACTTCGGCTGCTGAGTTTCCTTTCTTGAACTCATAAAGCATTATGTGCCTCAAATGATTCTTGGGTACTTCCATGTTAGCAGGGTTTTAATGAAACAAAATTTAATTTTATTGTTCTTTGAAATAAAATTTGATCAGTTTAAATGCATCTAAACATAAAAATAATGTTTAGCTCCATTAGACATAAAAAATACTCTTTAAATTTCGTTCATTTTTACAAAAAAGTTTAAATTCGGACATAACTTATGGGATGACCTGATATTTCCCTACACAACTCTGTTGTTTTAATATATATGATGTGAATATATACTTTTTAAAATGCCTGCTTTGAAGACATAATTTGTTAAATATGATTTTGTGTTTGATTTAAATAGGAATAACATATAACGCGTCATAAAAGGAACTGAAATCATTGATTATTCTTGGAGTCCTTTTCTTCCTAACTGAAGAAGTAGTGGAACAATTTCTTGTACATTAAATTATTAACTATACAGAGGCTACAAAATCTACGTGACATAATAAATTATTTCTTTCAAATTTCAGCAGTTCACCCAATAAAACGCATTACTTTATTCAAATAGCTTAATTAAATTCCTGTGTTAGTGAGCATTTTTAAAACATGGTTTTATTATAGTTACCTGAACAGTAAAGACATAGAAAAGCACAGACAGAAAATTAAGTGTAAAAGTCAAGAATGAATTCGGAAAATAAAGTAAAATAATCTATCTACTAATAAGAGAGAAAAAAGAAAAATTTAAAGGAAGAAAAAAGAAAAAATGTACGACACCGGAAGTTTAAAGTCAGAAAAAAAAAGACGAACGATGCCAGAAGAAGATGCGTAAATAAAGAACAAAAGAAAAGAAAAAAGAATAAAGGAAGTACATCAAATCGACGTTGTGTTCGATACTTAGAGGAAATAACGACTGAAAATGGCGGGAAACCCCTTTTCAAAATGGCGATAAATCTCTTCTACTAGCTTCACCCCATATGGAATTTCGGTTGCAAGCAGACGGACAATCTGCTTGTTCAATTAGCCTCAATAGGTTTTGCATTACACTTCCAAAAGATCAGTCGATATGTGTCGTTAACGCTTCAATTCATTTTCCCGCTCAGCAACGCCATTTTAAAAACAATGCACACAAAAAATGGAGAAAGCATAGTTTATCTCAGCACACTAATAAATAAATAAATAAGAACCAATGAACCAAAAAGATAAAAAAAAAACGAAAGAAAAAAAATAACATATAGGAAAAACAAAAAAACAAACAAGCCGGGATTAATTTGAAACACAAAAGAAATCAAAGATTGTCAATTAATGAAGTTGAAACAAAGGCCACCCAAATCCAGAATAATTCAATGAAAACAACAACAACATAGCATTAAAAACGAACAGAATTCCTTAGACTGAACCACAACAGACATCAAAGAAAAAAACAAAATGCAACGTGAATATATATGGAATAGTTCTCATTGTGGGGTGGAACTTGCTGGGGGTTAGGAGTGAACTGAATTGGCCGATAAGATAAAACATCACTCTATATGCATGTAATGGTTAACGAGCTGAAAGTGATTTATGAGTGAATTTGTTTTATTCATTTATTTAATGGCTACTGTTTTATTGCTCTATTACTCCGGGAACCGATGTAAGTGTCTTTTTGCGTCTATATTAATGGCGTATTGTTTTCCATTGTTTTTTTGTTGTTTTTTTGTTTATATTGATGTCAGTGATAAGACTCTATCTCTTTTTGGACGACTCTTCAATTTCGGTATTGGCGGGAGGGTGCGTATGGGTGTGTGTGTGTGTGTATGTGAGTGTGTGTGTGTGCGTGTGTGTGAGTGAGTGTGTTCGTTTGGCTGTAGGAAAGAAAAGTTTGAGGAAAAGTGCGTTTTGTGCCTGTGTGTGTTGATGCTAGCTTCAGTCAAACGGGAGCCAAACGGGAACGTTTTCCGTAGACAGTAACGAAAGAAATATTTTAAATTCTTGTCAATTTTGTAAGCGTCATCTTTCGCAGCAGCGGGTGGGGGTGGAGGTGGGGGTGGGTTGTTGGAGTCTTTCATGCATGTCCCGAACCACAAATTACAACCGACATGCATACGGATAGAAAGTTCAGCTGATATCAGTCAGTTATGTGCCATGCCTGTTACACGCTGAGGCGATCATGTATCTTTCTATACATGACTTACGAGGCAGATTTTTTTCCCGCAGTGGGTAGCCATTCCTTTCTGCGGTAGACCAGTTGCCATCCAAGAACCGGGTATGTCCTGCTATTTACCCATACCTGGGAGGAGAAGAAGAAGATTCATACCTTTCCCATTACCACGTAAGTGAATGTAATGGATTCGACTGGTATTCGAACTCGGCTCTCCGATTCCTCAATCCGAGCCGTTATCCATTACTCCACCGTATACAGAAATAGAGAAGGGGTGTAAGACAAGGATGTGTCTTCTCACCGGACTTATTCAACATATAGGGCGAGACAATTCTGAGAGAATTATACGTCCTAGCATTGGCGGCTACAGTTTTAATAACGAGAGATATGCAGATGACACAGTGTTGATAGCTGACACGGAGTGAAAACTACAAAAGCTCCTACAGAAGGTAGTTAAGGAAAGCGAGAAGAAAGGACTAAACATAAACTGCAAGAAGATAGAATGCATGGTTGTTGAAAAAAAAAAAAATGAGCCCAAAAAGCAAATTACAAATCGGAGATACCAAAATCAACCAAGCACAAACATTTAAATATTTGGGAAGTGTTCTAATAGAGGACGGGAAGTGTGACACTGAAATCCGAAGACCTATTGGGATAGTTAAAGATGCATTCCAAAAGGTAAGCAAAGAATTAAGAGACAGAAAACCTTCGTTAGAAACTAAGGAAAAAGTACTGAACTGTAACGTAATATCTATTCTACTGTATGACAGTAAATGCTGGATAATTTCCTCACAGATGAAGAACGGACTTGAAGCAACAGAAATGTGGTTCTACAGAAAGATGCAATGAACCGAACATATGAGCAACGACGAAATTTTAGAGAAAATGGAAACAAAAAGTGACTTATGCTTAACACCAGGAAGATACAGTTGAAATTTCTGGGGCACATAATGAGGAAAGAAGACTTGGAAAATCTGATACTCACGGGACGGAATGAACGTAAGAGGCACATATGAAACAATGCATAACATACTTAACAAGTTTGAAAAAATGTATGGTGGAACAGGGTTTAGAAATAGCAAAAAATGTATTTATTTAGATCTGCAAGGGATAGGAAATTGAGCAGAGTCATGATCACCTACGTCCGGTGGGGTGACATGGCACATAAAGAGAAAAGAGAGGTCCAGACGAAGGCTTGCTAACCAGAAAACTATATACAACTAAGTTAAAATAAATAAATCCTAATGAGTCAGGAACTATCTACCTAGATTTCGCCACATGGAATCATCAGGATGATCCCATGTGGAGAAACCTAGGTAGGTAGTACCTGCCTCATTAGGATTCGTTTATTTTAATTTTGCTGTACTTAACGTATTGAGTAATCTTTAATATCTGTCTATATTTCTGAGATGAGGTATTATGTACATTATTTACATTATTCGGACTATTGTCCTCATCTTTGTCGCCATATTTATCACAACGTTTCGGCCGTTGTATGCTCCGGCCTTCGTCAGGTGGTTGGAATTTCGAACTGAACCCTTTATTTCGCTCACTGGGGTAGACTGTTCTAGTTCCACGTGCCATGTTTAATGGATGTCAGTTATCTCCTGTTAATTTTCCCTCTGTAGTTCTTCACTGCCGTAACCGGGTATTGAACTCACACTCTTTGGGTCCTGTCACTGGATCTAACTAACCATTGTTAAGGCAGTGGAGAACTTTCAGAGGGAAAATTAACAGGAGATAACTGATAACTGACATCCATTAAACATGGCACGTGGAACTAGAACAGTCTACCCAAGTGAGCGAAATAAAGGGTTCAGTTCGACATTCCAACCACCTGAAGAACGGCCGAAACGTTGTAATAAATATGGCGACAAAGATGAGGACAATAGTCCGAATAATGTAAATAATGAGCAATCTTTTTTTTTAACTTATTACTGGCTGTTTTTTTTCTTTGTACCAGAGATATAAGGTACTGGACGATATTTTCCTCAGATCTTGAAAATTTGATTGTTTGAAATTTGTTTGAAACTTGTGCTATCAGGTTTTTTTTCACCCATCGAGTTTAAATAGATTTACGACTAAGTTAAAGTAGACAAATAAATGAATGGGGACTAGTCATATATTAGTGAGTCAGTTATGTGCCATGCGATATACACACTTAGGCGATCATGCATCATTCGAGGTAGTTTTTTTCTCCCCGCAGTAGGTTGTCATTTCTTTCTGCGGTAGACCAGTTGCCATCCAAGCCTATAGAACCCTGTCTCTCCTGCTATTTACCTATAGCTGGGGCGGGGGAGAAGAAGAGGATTCATACCTATCCCACGGATATTAGCACCTAAGTAAATATAATGGATTCTCTGATTCCTCAATCCGTGTCGCTATCCATTACTTCACCGTGCCTCCAGTGACATATCAAGTCTCATATAATCCTTATATAGTGTCGGAGACATTTTAAGTAGAGCGTGAGATTGTTTTTTCTTTCTGTTGAATTAATAGGATGCGTCAATGGATGCTTCAAAAACTTATGAGAGATTGGAAGGTGACACACTTTGCCCAGTGTTTAACGGGAACTGAGAAAGAATCCAATGCTCGCTTCAATTACTCGTCTTATTCCAATAGCAAAAGAAAAGAACGCAAAAAATTCGGCTCACCAATGAGCTCGGCTCACCAATGAGCTCGTCTCAACAATGAGCTCGTCTCACCAATGAGCCCGTCTCAACAATGAGCTCGTCTCACCAATAAGCTCAGTCACAACAACGAGCTCGTCTCACCAATGAGCTTGGCTCACTAATGAGCTCTTCTAACCAATTAGACTGCTTGTACCAATATCCGTTGCGCTTCCCGCACAACCACTAATAGTAATGGTAATATTAGTCGTTTCTTTATAATGAAGCATTTGGAATTCGTTCATTCGGCTGGAATTTATAAAATCTTTCTCTTAAAACTATCTTTCGAGAAAAAAAAAGGTTCCTCACGTCCAATACCTGTTATCGCGCTTTCTATTATTGATAAGGGTTTCCTTCGTAACTTTTTATTAGAAGTCGTGTGGAAGGTCGGTATCTTGATTATGTTCTTGTGTCTGAGTTACATGTGATATCAATTTCAGCTTTTGCTGCTTTTGAAAGTCCTGAAATGATGTTGTTTATCTTATTTGTTACGGTTCTTGGTTTGTGATTCTTTAGTTAAGAATTTAGCACTTGAAATAAAATCTTAAATTGAACTCACTATTTTGAATTGATCTGTCTATCTTGAATTGAGCTATCTTGACTTGAGCTATTTTGAATTGAGCTGCCTTGAAGTAGGCGTGTGTTTATAATGGGTATTGTTGGTGTACACTGATAGTGGAGCGGCCATGTTTACACCGTCACAGCAGCAAGAAAAACTTTGCGACTAAGCTCAAACCTCGATCACGTGACCACAATAGTACGACCTATATGCACACATGAGCACAAGGCAGTGTGATAAATCTAAAGATACGTTATCGCGAAAGGTTCGCTTAAGCTCCGGTACATACTCCTCCCTGGTTTTTTGAACAGGAGTTGGCTTATCCTTAATTCTTGTTTCGGGTTGGGCTTCTGGTTCCTTCTAACGTCTGCTTCAGCTCTGTAATCTTACGATTGTCTTTCCTTACGCTAATCTTCCGCAAATCCACATTGTAACCATCGACCTGTCGTAGAGTGGCTAGATAAGAGACAAGTCATTGTACTTAATGGTGAATATGTTATTGAATAAATTTGAAATTTAGTCATAAAAACCCGTAACTTAAAATGTATCGTAGAGTTGCTAGATAAGAGACAAGTCATTGTACTTAATGGTGAATATATTATTGAATAAATTTGAAATTTAGTCATAAAAACCCGTGGAATTTTACTTAAAATGTATCGTAGAGTTGCTAGATAAGAGACAAGTCATTGTACTTAATGGTGAATATATTATTGAATAAATTTGAAATTTAGTCATAAAAACCCGTGGAATTTTACTCAAAATGTATCGTAGAGTTGCTAGACAAGAGATAAGTTCTTAATGGTGAATATATTATTGAATAACTTTATTTTGGAAGAGTAAAATTTATAAACAAAGACGGAAATAATAATATTTTATGACTCACCTTAACAGTTGTGAATAAATATAAGAGGTATTTTTAAAAATCCCAATCAAACGATATGGAGAGTCGTGATCAATCAGTTAAAATAATAAAATCAATATGATGATTAACGTCTGAAGCACGTAAATATTTGAACAGTTATAATTAAATACGACAAAATGTTTCCAAGTACATACTTCCAAACTGCTTGTGTCATTGCATAAATATGAAATGAATGAAACCAAAATTTACACGTTTCACGAAAAGAATTTACCACTTTGTCATAGATTTTCTTAAAGTTGTTCTGGTATATAAAAGGGTATACATCGTTCATCCATAAAAAAAAAATCAATGTATCAGTCGCCAGCAATTATTCCACAGTGATCATGTGCGTTAAATCCAAACGTTTCTAATGAACGCACGATCGGGAAACCACAACGGTGCCGAGATTTTAATTCGAAAACTGAGCTAGGCTATGATCAAATATCCAAAGATAGAAAAAGAAGAAATCTTTTAGCGATCGGGAAAGTTTCTGCATCTAAGGCAATGGTACAGAAATTCTTGTTCGGATATTAGCCTAAACTAGGGTAAGGTGAGGCCTGAAGACTTCGTGAGCTGTATTAGCGCCGATGTTTCGTACAAATATCTCGTTGGCATTGACATCTACTATCAGCTTCGTCATTTAATCCGTATTATTGAAGATTCTATCTCACGACCGTTTCCCTAGTCGGCCTGGTTAGAACGGTTCCGTCTCTCTGGCCCAAGATTCTTATCAGAACGAACGTAATGACGTACTGGAATCTTGTACGGATCAGAAGGTTTCGTCTAAATCGATGTTAATCCTAAAGCTATTCCACTTGCAGACGATAGAAAGAGCTCATTGGTAATAATTCTTCCTTAAGGTCAGTTTTTCTTTTTCTTAATTTTTATGGTTTTCCTTTCTAGCTTTTTTTTTCACTATTTCTTTCTGATTTAGTTTCTCTTTTTTTTCTTACAGCTTTAATTTCTTTATTTCTTTAATTATTTTCTGTTTATTTTCTTTTTTCTCTTTCTCCCTTTTTATTTCTTTAATTGTTTTTTTATTTATTTTCTTTCTTTTTCTCTTTCTACCTTTTTCTTTTTTAATTGTTTTTCTTTCTTAATTTCTTTCATTGTTTTTTGTATATGTTCTTTCTTTTTTTCTTTCTTTCTTTTTTCATTCTTCCAGTTTACTTTCTTTCTTTGTTTTCTGCTTATTTTCTTTCTTTCCGTTTTCTTTCTTTTTTCTTTCCTTAATTGTTTTTGCTTATTTTCTTTCTTTCTTTCTTTCTTTCTTTCTTTCTTTCTTCTACTTTCTTTCTTTTTTTCTTTCTTTATTTTTATACGATCCCTTCCATCCATTCTTTCTTTCTTTCTTTCTTTCTTTCTTTCTTTCTTTCTTTCTTTCCATCCTTCCATCCTTTCTCTTTCCTCTCTTTCCTTCTATCCTTTCTTTCCTCCCTTCAGTTCTTTCTTCTCCTTCCTTCCTTCCTTCCTTCCTTCCTTCCTTCCTTCGTATTAATTTCTTCCGGATTCTTCTTTCTCATCAAAATATTCAATTCCGACTCTCGTTTTTTATCTGATATTTCAATAACTATCGGTTGTTCTTTCTTTCTATCTTTCTTTCCCGGCTATTTTCTATGGACTGACGATGCAGACAACCCATAAATTTCTTTTTACACAATATATTTATTAACCTACTATTACTTTTTGGCAAGTGCTGTGGTAAGAGATTCCCGAGTTAACAGATTTCCATATGCGCTGTTCTAATCAAATCAATCCAATATTTACAACACTAGAATTCTTCTTTATTTTTGTGGAAAATTCTAACTGCATAGGAATAATGTAATTGCAATGAAGCTTTAAAGAAATTGTTTATTTTGAAGAAGGGGGGTGGATTCAGAAAAGAATAGCAAAAAATGGATAGGAACAAATATTTTAAAACAATGACAAAATTTTAGAAAAATATTTAAACAAAAAAGAAAACCTTTTAATAAGAAAGAAATAAACATATTATTTTAGAAACGAAAAAAAAAATCTTGATTTATGAAAGAAATAAAGAAACAAGCAAGAATCAAACAAAAAAAGAAAAGAAAGAAAGAAAAAAGAAAGAAAGTGAAGCAAAGTAAAAATATTACAAAACAATCAAAAAAAAATAAAATTAGCAAAAGACAAAAATTAGAACGAAAAAGAACAAAGAAAAATAAACAAATAAATAATTAGAAGCATTTATTTTTTTTTTTAATTTTTATTCATTAAAAGCAGAACATATGTCATCACGTTTTTTCTGATGCTACCATTGCAAAAAAATATTTGTTTACCCACATGCAGGGAAATTTGAATTATACTGACATGCGACGCATGCTAATGACAGGTGTCATTTAACGGGGAAGAACCGCTTTGTGAAATTCAGCAACAGAATGTAGTATCGATTCTCCAACTAGTCGGAATACTTCTGGAATGACGTCATGAAATTCTGTCTTATACTACGATCGCAAACAAAACATTTAATACAGCGCTTTGCATTTTGTATTATATGCCATGTCCATTCAAGAGGTAGGCGATAATAGCTCTCTATAACAATCTTTTTTTTGTTACTCTAAGTAAATTTTAAATTTTAGCATACCTCTTAGTTCTATAGCTATTCAATTGAACTTGTTAAATAGATTACTTGTTGGTTCCACCTGCCAACAGTATACCTTCTGAGTGTTAAATTCTCCTAGCATTCTTTCCTCGTTATCTATTCCAGACATTTCAGTTGTCTCTTTCTGATTATTCGCGTCAGTTTCCGTCTACTTCCTATTCTTCACATGCACCGACGTATGTTCTTATTGGTATTCATCAGCAGAACTAAACAGCCTCGTCAGATCTACGCTCTCACGTGGATGTCATGTATGGCATCCAGCCCGTTCAGAAATTTCTAGACTATCAGCTATGTAGATCCACTTTCTCAGGTCAATGATTAAAATTCGATGAATCCTGTAGATGCCAAAGAAAACTATCATTCCCCTAGTCCTATAGACTGGTGCTACGGAATCACAAGCAAAGAGCTTTATCAAATAACAAAGATTACATCACTTTGAAGACTTTCAACAGCAGCAACAACAAAAAGGGAAAACACGTGTACATAGAACGGAGAAAATAATGATATAATCCAGATGTTCAATTTGCACATTTCCTTAGGCAAAAGTTTAAAAAGGAAACTCCCATCAAGACTAGAATGAGCAATTAGAGGAATTGAGAGACCTAGTTTCCTGAAAATCTCTTTTAAGAAAACATTTATAAATTTCAACCTACGGTAACCTTAGATGTTCGAACAATACCTAGTGTTTCATGGATGCAAACAGTTAATTCCACTATTACCTTTTCGATAGTATTGTATTCCAGAGAATATTCAATTATCATTTTTATTGCTCTAAGTATTTTTATTGTTATAAGAATTTTTATTGTTGAATTTTTATTGTTTATTTATTGATTAGTATTATTTATTTATATTTATTATTTATTACTTATTATCGATTAGTTTTTGTTTATTTATTGTTATTAGTATTTATTGCTTATTATTTGTTATTTATTGTTTATTTATAATTATATTTTACTTATATTGTTTATTTATATTTATTGTTTATTGCTTATTATTTATTAGTTTTTGTTCATTGTTATTAGTATTCATTGCTTATTATTTATTGTTTATTTATAGTTATATTTTATTTATATTGTTTATTTATATTTATTGTTTATTGCTTATTATTTATTAGTTTTTTTTTTATTGTTATTAGTATTTATTTCTTGATTATTATTCATTGTTTATTTATAGTTTATTGCTTATTATTTATTAGTTTTTGTTTAATTTTATTTATTGCTTATTATTTATTATCTATTGTTTATTTATACTTATATTTTATTTATAGTGTTTATTTTATATTTATAGCTTATTTTATTGTTTATTTATTAAACTTTATATTGTTGAATTTGTATTACAAATTTTATTACTATAAGACTTTCTATTGTTATAAGAATTTTTATTGCTAAATTTTTATTGTTTATTTATTGATTAGTATTATTTATATTGATTATTGATATTTGTTCTTTTATTATTTATTTATTGTTATTATTGATTATTATTTATTGATTATTATTTACTGTTTAGTCATATTTATATTTTATTTATATTTATTGTTTATTTAATGTTTATTTTATTGTTTATTCATTAGACTTTTATTGTTGAATTTTTATTAAGAATTTTTATTGTTAAAATGTTTTAACAATGCCAAATGTTTCTTGGATGGAAACGGTTAATTCCGCCACTATCATTACCATTTCGATAACATTGGATTCCAGAGAATATTCAATTATCATTTTTATTGTTATTGTTTTTGCTGTTACAATTATTCTCCTCCTCATTCACGCTGCTACTGTTAACTGACTTTTTATACACGTAGTAAGTGGTTGAGTTCTTGTAATATTACTTCAGCTAGAGTTTTTCATGTTTCTGTCAACTCAAGCTTTTTATCGACTAAACAATTATTTTTACTTAAGTTCTAAAACATTTACGGAGATCAAACAGAGGATGTGATCACTGGCGGTCCGAATGTTCTTTCTTTCCCTTCCTTTTTATACATAACCTATTGTTGTCTAAGTTTGTACTCGTCTTGCCTAGGAAGGGTCCAGAATACCTTACTCCTGACGTTGCTTATATATTGCTCCTTTATTTTAATTAAGTTTCGAGTGTTTAAATTTATTTCTTTCTCACTCACTTTAGATATATTTTTTAGTTTTCCATTTATTTCATCCTGGTTGACAGCTCCAAGCCATTTGAAATATATGTTGCAACCCTTTGGGGTTACTTGTTTCTAGTAAATCACGAAAAACAACGGAAAGTGACGAGAAGAAACGAGAAAAAAAATGTAATTTTAGAAAAGTTTCGCCATCCACATACTCTATGCTTTCCTTTTTCCTTCTGTCCGTCCCGTGAGTATCAGATTTTCCAAGCTCTCCTTCCTCATTACGTGTCCCCGAAATTTCAGCTGCCTCTTCCTGATGTTAAATATAAGTTTCCTCTTTGTTGACAATCTCTCCAAAAACTCGTCGTTGCTCACATGTTCGGTCCATGGTATCCTCAGCATCCTTCTGTAGAGCCACATTTCTGTTGCTTCTAGTCTGTTCTTGGGTAGTTGGATGGAGGAACATGATGAGAGGGATAATAAGGGGACAAAAATTGCATAGAGCTACAAAAGATAGGAAGTTGTAGAGAGCCATGACCTTTCACGTCCTGAAGGGACACCGTACATAAATGAAAATCGATCTGTGTCGGAATAAAAAATTACTTTTAGACTTTTGTTTTCCAGGGCCGTTTCTGGTATCTACTGATATATATATATATATATATATATATATATATATATATATATATATATATATATGTGTGTGTGTGTGTGTGTGTGTGTGTGTGTGTGTGTGTGTGTGTTAAAATAAAGAGAAAGAACAGTAAGATTTATAATCCAGTGTTCTTATTAATTATTTTTATTTTTTCAAAAAAAAGTGCTCAATACAATTCTGTAGAGCATATTATAAATTTACTAATTTAAAAATATGGTTCCATCGCTACACAGGAATTACCATGTTTCAAAAACAGGAACAAAAAACTTCAAATTTAATTATCGAATTAAATTAAAATCCTTAGTACTGTTTCATTTGCAAGCGAATAAAATACTTTAGTTTTCTGTTTTTGAAACATGGTAATTCCTGTGTAGTCAAACTCATATTTTTAAGTTAGTAAATTAGTATATATATATATATATATATATATATATATATATATATATATATATATAAATTTATAGTATATATATATATATATATATATATATATATATATGAATGGTAATTTAGGAGATTTGAATAATTTTTCAAAACTAATTATGTCTTGACCTAGAAATCTCAGCAGAATGCAGAAAAGCATTTGGGGACTCACCAGCAGTGCGCACCAACTGCTGAGAATCGAACCCGCACCGTTACGATACAAAGGAAGCATCATAACATTGGACCAGCAGGCCTCCGTGGAAACTAAGTGACTAGACAGAATATAGCGCAGCTAATCCTATATATTGATTAGTTTCCCTCATTCATTGTTGTGTGGCTAACTGATTATGGCGTATCCGTCGGAAGTTTCAACCATTACTGACGTGTCAGGAACATTCCATTGTGACGTCATGGGTTAACATAATCATTACACTTTTTGGTATATTAACCCTAGAACACTAACCATGGGTATATAGTACCCAGCGCAAATTTTCCTATTTTTAATTACAATTTTCAGTACCTGATTTTCTTACTTAAATAATATGTCTTTCAGTTCCTATTAATATTAACTCAAAGTACAAAGTTTGAAATGCCTGCATGTAAAATATTTCAAATAAAGATTTATATTTAATATTTTTTTGATATTTTCAAAATCGGGTATGATATATACCGATGGTTAGTAGTGGTGTAACTTTAATTGATGGTTAGTGTTCTAGGGTT